ATCAAGCTCTCTCAATTTTTTCATATCGACCGAAGTTGTGGGTCTGGTATTACCATGACGAAACACCACTCCTTTCCTGTTGATCAATTCCGGCTGTTTTACTCAATTTCTTGCTTGAGCCTCATTAGTAGTTGACAGTAGAGATCCGAATCGCTGGACTACCTTTTGACCATGATCTTTTTCGCACGTTCTTGTCGTAGATGAATCTTTTCAAAAATGGTTCGGTTGCATTACGTTTCAGTAGAAATTCGCAAATGAGTACACGATTCATTAGACATTAAGCAGTGAGCTCGTGTAGTATCCAAATTAAGCATTTTGTATAGCCAGACTTTTTCAAATGCGTTAAGACTGATTTGGGGTCAATCCTCAATTCTTCGGCTATGTTGGAACTCCACTTTTTAAAAACTGGCTTCAACTTTATCGGTATTAAGCATTGAGCTATTATGTACTACGTACTAGAGGAGACACTGCATTCAGCTACTCTGTTCCACTCAACTGCGGTGCATGCACTGCACTTTAATCAGTCACTCGCTAGGCGCTTGTAGAGTTGTCACGTGTTGTGTTGATTTAAAAAAAAATCTCTTGATAAAAATATGCCGTCTTGTGTACTTAGATATTGCACAAATAATTCAAGAAATGTCAGTAAAAACCAAGGAATTACTTTTCATCGGTTAATAAGATACTTATTCAATAAAAAAGTATTATAAATTAATAATAAAGCAAATTATTCCTAAGACGCCATCTCGTATCATTGAATATAGATTATGAAATTAATATGTTCAGATGCGACATTTCTGTGGGTACTTAAGTTTAGGACGAATATATTATTATACTACACATTTTTTTTGTAGAAACATATAAGTTATTATAATTAAGCTAAATTTTTCATGTTTAAATCTGCTTATTATTCTTTTATTTTATTTTTAGGTTTCCACTTCAAAGTCAAAGTGGAATAAATTCGTCCATTTTTAACTCTCGCGTGCCCAGCATTTATGAACGATTATTTACAACATTTATGATTCTAATTTAAATAAATATATTTGTAATTTAAATTTTATGTTAATAAGTTTTGTTAAACATACATTTAGTACGTTTTTTTATATTTGACATAGATACCTTTTAAAATATTCAGATAACAATATCATCAAAATGTAATTCTGACATAATATTATGTAATATTATATTAAATTAGCACATATACAAAATAAAAAACATTTTAAAAAATTGTAAGTACTCGATATAATTAACAATACAATATAAATAAACAATTATTACATACTGACCATTCTACTTACGTATAATCTATAATAACAAAAACTGACCGCGCAAGCGCAAAGCGCGTTTATACCAACTGCGCATGCGCGACTCTACTATTACCGCGCATGCGCGAAGACATAGAAGTAGCGCACAATTTTTGTTTGGAATAGCTTCTCTAGTACGTAGTACATTATAACTCAATGGTATTAAGTAAGAGAGCTGTATCTTTGACATCTAAATTCTCGGACTGAAAACTCTTGAACTTTGTGCTACTCTTACTGACACTATGGACCTGCATAGACGTCATAATTTTTTTCGCGGCTTGAGTCGCATTTTCCCTTTTTTATAATAAAACTTCAGAATCTATCGAATTTCTTCGTTAGATTCACTAATTTTGGCGGACAGAAAAACAATTGAAAAATGGCGGGAAATTGTTTTTTTTTTTTACTTTTTTAAAGAAATTTAACAAAATCCCCTAGCACGAAAGAAAAAAATTTTATAATAGGTTTCATTTCGCAATTTTCCGTATTCAAACGCATTCACTATTTGAAGTTTATCACTTAATGACAGTACTTTAATTTTCCGTTTTGACATGAAAGAAGAAGTAGGAAGATCCACGAAAGTTAAGAAGGAGTCATAAAATAGCAGATGTTATATTTTTAATTTGTTTTATAATTTGTTACTGTATGTGTGTATTTTTATTGTAGATATAGTTCCTCACAAATAATATAAATAAATAAAGCTCGACTCGCACTTATACAGGTATAGATATAAGTAGCAGTCTCACATACCCTCCGTATGTCCATGAGGAAAAACGACTCTCTCTTACAGAGGTTTCTGTTTCGCGCTAATAGAGGTTTAGGGAGCTTAAAATAACGGGTCCTGGCTATTACACTCAATTATAGAGTTTTCTCACTTATCTAGTTCACACTAACCCAGGTTTGACTGTACATGTTAAAACTATCGTGATACCGCTTGAAAAGTAATTACTCAAAAGTCCGTCCGTCACTACCTAAAAGATGGCAATTTAGTTATCGAATAAAATGACACATATATGTTATGATTAAATCCAATTAAACTTTTTAAAAAAATCGTGAATTTGTTCATAAAATAGGTAGAAACTTTTCCCCGACCTTATATATTCATAATAAATAATACTTACTATATTTACTTATAAACATAATAATTCATGTCCATATAATTTGAAATTTATATTTTAAAACGTGGTTATTGACACCTTGTT